GCTCGGCGAGTGGGGGGGACCCGGTCTGTATGTGGGATCCGAACCCTCGGGCGGGAGCGCCGCCGTGCTTCCCAAGCGGCGCACTATCCAGTGCGCCACCGGGCCGGCCCCAGGAAATTTTTTTTTTAATCATAGGAAGTCTAAGCAATATCTGTAAAAGTACCCACAGTGTAGCCTGGGGAGTCAGACTCAAGGAAGAGGGAATGAAAGAGAAAGATGTGGGAGAGAAAGAGACTGGAAAATACGGATGTATGTGGGAGCGGGGGTGGATGTGCAAATGCTCCTAGTAATTGCTTCAGGTGCCATCGATGAAGATGGGCCAGATTCCCTGACCTGCCTTAGATTTAAGGTGACAAAAGCCCAAAACTTTTCTTATGTTTCTGTGTGATTGCCAGCTTTTAATAATGAAGTAGTGTCTTTATGAACACCTATTGAAAGATTTTGCAGCTTGAGTTTAAGAACAGACTATGAAGTCGGTCAATGAATATAAAGAAAAATCACCCAGTTAGAAGTAGGCATATTTGAGAAGAGTCTCCAAGAAATAATCACCATAGCCCTAAATGATGATTGTTTTCTTTCGTAAGTTTTATAAATTCTTGAAAATGATGTATTCACCGATACTTACTAGAAACATTTGGATTATGCTTTATTATGTATGGTTGTGCTTAGTAATCTGTATAATTAGGTTCAGTGGGCTAACAGAATTTTCTCTTAAAGAAAGAGTATCAATTACTAGACCACAGGGTTTTAACTGTTAGAGCTATGGAAAGGAGCTACATTTAAGCCCTTTTATTTTCCTCATTGAAACTCTGACTTCCTGAACCGTTATTTTCAAATGTTATTCTTTCCCTTTTTAAAAACAAGCCAATCTTTATTTAGAATGATTGTGTACTACTCTTCACGTTAGTCATCTAGGATTAGGAAAATAGTCTGAAGTAAATTAAACATTTGTCAGGAGATGTAAATAAAATGATGATAGCAATAGTACCTTTTTCCTGATATATTAATCATTTCAATCCATTTATGCCATTTTGAAAAGAGAAATAATGTGTCAAACCATAGGTTTTTATACCCTTAAAACCATTTCCCAAAAAATGTTTTTTAAAAAATTAGAATTCAGTCCAAATAGTATTGATGCAAGTTTGGTCTATTTAGGGAATGGTGCCAAGGACTCCAGTGGTTTCAAAGTCTGATAAGATTGTCCTTGGGATTTGAGGAGTTTCTAGTCAAACTGGTGATAGGAGAGTGTATTGTAAAAAAAAACTTCATATTTTCCTGATGCCTCAACATCCCCACAAACAGGCTGTGAACAACCTTGCCCAGGCAACCAGATGCACCAGTGTGATAAGGCTGGTCCCTGCCACAAGTTCCCCTTCTTGTCCTCCCCTATGTCCTCCCCATCACTATGACCTAGTGATGTTCAGTGACATCCCCTCACATCTTTTGCTTGTATACTTCCCTTTGACTCCCCAATAAAGGCATTTGCCCATGGGTCCTCACTCTATCAGCTCCCCTCCTATGTGGTTGAGCCTGTTCCCTGGGAGCGTCTCTCATATGGCTCCCTGCATGGCGTGCCATGCCTCCCTCTCTAGGACCCATGAGTATAATAAATCCTTTAATTTCATATGCCTTTCCCAGTGTAATTTTTGTAGCTGTGTTAGAGTGATCCTTAAAGACCCCACAAGGGGGACTTATTCCCTCCATCATTTACAACACAGAGATATAGATGATAAGCTGATTTTTGGTGCTGGTTGTCACTGAGGGCCAAAGAAAGGAGAATGTCCAAGTTTTTTGTTTGTTTGGGAGGATGGAGAGGAAAGGTATTTTGAGCTTCATGGAAGAAGCTCTTTTGAGATGATGCTATAACTGTGCCACATCATATAGGACATATTCAGTGACAAAAAAACAACCTGAATCTCGTCAAAACTCTAGTTTTAACTACCAACTTACAGGACATATAAAGAACCAGGGATATATTCTAAATGATGAGATAGGGATACAACCAGCAAAATCCAGGACACATGATCCAGTTTTTTAGCAAGTCAATTTCGAGAGGAAAAAAAGAAAAGAAGATAGGGAACCCTATAATTTAAAAGGGATTTAAGAAAGGTGTCAACTAAGTACAATGTGTGAACCTTATTTGGATCTTTATTTGAATAATTCAACTATAAAAGAAATTTGAGACAATGGGGAAATGTTAATACTGACTAGAGGTAGCTCACTTGGTAGA